ACCTAACTTATAGTTCGAAACAAAACTCCGACTGTAACTCGACAAAGGATGCAAGCCCCAGCTATGTCGGGCAAAACGTAACTCTGCCGTGCGGCACAGCGTATGTTCAGGCGCTTTATAGCAACGCCATCTGTGAGCGAGATATTGAAGTATTGCGGGACAGCCTATCTTACGGCGCCTGTCACTCCTGCCATCTAGCGACAGAAATGTAGTGAATGTGCTGCTTCTATGCGGCAACAATCCTAGAGGATTTTGTCTTGCGGAACGAACGAACGAATGATTGAATGAATGAATGGCCTTCTCCATGAACGAACACATCATACAAATGCTGTTACCTGTAGCTAGTAAAACGGCAAAAGGGACTTGCATGCAACAAGCAGGGCGGCATAATCTCAAAACTGCATACAGCGATCACTTTCGCAATAGGTGGCTACTGAAGAGTAGCTGCGAGGCCGATAAAACTCACCATAATGGATCCGTACATAGCATCAGACGATGTGTGAATTATAGTGACAAATCGATTGGCGCTCCTCCGCGTGGCGTAATGGTGCGGAACAGCTGTCATTTCTCTCCTAGCTATTCAGTCGTCAATGGTCCTGGCTCCTCACTAGTTGGTCTGACTGTCGTGATAATAGTCTCATGAACTGCAAGATGCGTGCATACTTGATCCACGAGTGCTGAGCTGCGTCACTGAGAATGCAACTGGTTGGGTAACCTGTAGTTTATTGTTCAGTGTTCTTATGCTCATGAGGACCGTAGGCCTTCCCGAGCGCCGTCCGCTGTAGCGAGCGCTGTTATCCGTCTACATTGTAACATCTTCGTTCCGTTTTTAGCCTATCTATTCTACGTCTATCTGCCGACAGGTCGCTGAGCGTGGAGCGACTCCCCCTCCCGTCTCACGTATCCCCTCAGAGGCCGCTCTCCTCACTGTCTCGTCTTTCCCCCAGGCGGCGACTCGGTTACGCCGCGGGCTCCCCTTACCTACACCCCGGCACCGTTCACGCTCCATCGTCCCTCCGCGCCTGCCGGAGATAAACAGTCAACACGCAACAGGCCCGTCTGGCAGCCGTCACCGGCGTCGCCGCGCGGCTGCCAGATGAAGTTATCCGCGGCCGTGCCGACACGAGCGCCAGATCTAGCGAATGGGTCTGGCCGGCGTGTAAATGGTGACATATCGTCGTGTTTTTCCTTCCGTATCGGCCTGTGTCGGTGAGGATCTGCCTCGGAGGCCGTCGGCGGCCCACTGACCCAGATGCCATGTTCCGGCTTTTTGCGCCGGTTGTCGCGCACCCGGGCCGGGCATGTGCCAATGAAGGCCGCGCCAAAGGCGCTCGGCAGAGCCGTGCCAGTGCCAGGGTTGCCTGAGGCCAAGGCCCTATATACGCTATGGCGGAGACTGACGGGCTGGAGCAGTAAACTCCCGGTCGGGTCATGTGCTACGTGCATGAACAATATGGGACCGGCAGTTCGTTTAGAAAGGGCGGCTGTAAAGCACTGCTGACGAGAAGTGAAAATGGATGGAAAAGGACGAAGAAGCATTCGCACGGAAATGAACGATCGCAATGGTTCCTCGTTCTGCCTTTGCCTGCTCATCGCGCGTATGAATATGTGGGACGGCTACACTGCACGATAGCTCGCTTTGCCCACCACCGTTTCGCCCTGCAACGTCCTTTGTTTCCGGCTGACCTTGCGGCGTATCGATTGGAGCGGCCGTAATCAATCCCTATTACGGGATAGGTACTGTCCGACAGTCTCACTGGAGATGGGATTATCGGAGCCGGCGGGAGTTCAGTGCCGGTGGTAGTCCGGTGGTTACCGGTGGTTACCCGCTCCTGAGACTGGTTACCAACCGATGGGTAGGTCTGATAGTGGTTACCGATGGTAACTAAAGCATGGCTCTCGCGCATCCGTGGTTCTTCTTAGACACCTATAACTGAAGCAGAATGTCAGCGGCCAAGAAAACTTTGTTCTCAGTTTGAGTTCAAAGCTTTCCTCCGTTTCCATTTAGTTCTGTTTTATGACATTTGCATTTTTACGTCGGCGAACACAATTTCCATTGTCTTTAGAATCTGTCCCGGCACGTAATCTGAACACCTGTGAATGCACACCTCAACCGGACATGACGCCTACTGTCGTATAAATTCCGTGAAGCCGGCCGTTCCAACCGTTCTCAGTTCGTCAGTAACACTCGTACCTCGTGTCAGTCGATGTTCCGGCCGGCATTCTCAGAACGCCCAGAGGGGCAGTGGCTAGGTAGGTACCCTTCCTGCTTCCTTGAACCCTTTGACCTAAGCGTCAAACTCTTCATCGTGGGCCATCTTTTTGTGATAGTAAAACGTGAAAAGTATCTCACGTTAAATCCATTTTACAGACTATCGTGGAATTCACGTCGGAACTGCGTTTGTATTCGGATTCCATGGAGTCGCCCGTTTGGAAAAGTTTTCTCCGGTAACATTTAAATTTGCCTCCACTACCTACCGTAGGTCAACGAACCTAATCCAAAGACCACCCCGTTGGCGTTCCGGGCTATGTGAACGTCACCAACACAGGATACATCATGCACAATGCACATCGCACAATGTACACGAACCTACTCGAGCATTCTTAGTGATAGCATAACACTCTAGCTGACATAAGGCGGCGAAACGACTCAGAGCCCGCCTGCAAGTTTGGGAGATGGCCTGGACCTTCTCTAGTCTCTACACAGACGACCAGCTTCGGCTGTCGCCTCGGTCCCAGGCCGCGAGAATGAGTTTCCGGACTGCCGAGCCCAAAACTCCTCATACCCCGGATCGACTCTGCGGTTTATAGGCCGGCCTTCCCGGAAAATCCGAAATGGCTCTATAAAATAGCGGCCGCAGAGATACGGACCGCGATCGGCTAACGATCAAACCGGCCTACCCTGAACCGTTTTCAGCAGACGGACGGCGCTCAGTTGGCCACCCTGGCTTGTTTGCAATTATTGATACGGTTCATTGATTCAAAAGTACCGCATCAATAAATTTTGCAATTTGGTGCTGTCTCGACCTCTGTGATTTCATTCACACAATAACATCGGCCCACGTCTGCATCCAGCAGCTCGACCGTTCTCGCTCATTCTAACAGCCTCTTCTCTTCTGTTTCAGGCCCGGTGTTGACAACGAACTGGCGGTCGGCTGTCGGTGTCCTCAAGTGTTGGGTCGTGCTCCGACGTGCCGTGTTCCGGGTGCTCCGGTGCTCCGGGTGTTCCCCAGTGCAGGCCCGGCGCTCCGACGGCAACACACCGCTCAATCTCCCCTCACAGTTTTGTACGCGTGTCACTGCTCTGCCGACTCGGCCGGTCCTCCGCCGCGCCCGGTCCCCTAGTGAGAGAGTAGTCGGCCGGCCGGCCGGCCGGCGGCTCGGAGCTGGCGGCGCCGACCGACCGGACTGCGGTCTCCCACCGCGCCGCCCGTCGCGGTGGAAGTGTTATATACTTGTTACACCCGTGTTGGTGGTCCGTCACGCGGCACGTGACGCGTGTGACGGCCGCCGGCGCCACTGGTGATACGGCTGGCTGCCGGACGCGCCGCTTGTGATACTGCGGCGCGGGCGCGCTCCGGGCGCGGTGCAGCAATAGCGCGCGCGGCGTGGCGCGGCGCCGACCGCGCGCCGACGCTCAACATAGGCAGAAAGCTGCCCGGCCGGGCGGCGGCACATTCCAGCGGCGACTCGACCGCGCACCCACGCTTCAGCGGCGGCGGCGGCCAGGCTGCGTTTCAAGCAGCGCCGACCGTCGCCGTCGGCCCACTCTGCACCGGGGATGGAGGATCGCACATCCGCACACTCCCGGGCATTAGTGCACTCATAGATAACGGATATATACTAAGCGACACCGTTTTCGTTATCGGCCGGGCCGCGGGTGCCGCCGTAGTATGTTTTAGTGTATTCAGGCGAAAACAGACATTTGGTATTGCCATGCCTTTATAGCACTTAGAATTCATGTTACAAGTTTTCAATTTTACTAGACTTGACGCACTGTTCCGGCAGGGGTGACCGGCCTCAGCTTGTGATATTGCGTTGTATGCCGATAGCCATTATCGTGCTTATTTCCGGTGCTAAGCGGCGAGTTTCACTGTTGTTCCATGTTCAATTCCATACTGTACATATTACAATACAACTCTTTTTCATTCATCAACGTTCTGGTCGATATACAATTATTGATCGCTGTAGAAGAAGCACCATGGTGAAAGGATGGCTGTGTCGGTTTGAATGGTAGCGGTCCCCGTTCATGAGAGACTGGGCACTGGTATGGACGAAGCCGGGCACCAAGCGAGGACCTCTGAAATGAGAGATGGTTGAAATTCGTCCCCCACACCCAGGATCAAGGAGTCACCTGCACAAAAACCTGGGCTGACACTGCGGCTGCTACTTCGTGCCTCGGCGCGACCTTCGCTCCTGGCGACACCCTTCCTCATCCTGCGGGTGTTGATAAGGCTAGAACCTAGCTAACCAGCGAAACAAGTCACTACCCCTACAAACCAATGTCGATGTCCAAAGTAAACACGACACGCCCCTCTACCTCTGATTACAAGCCCTCCCATGTGACGGAGCACACCCCTCGATCCGGGTGGGCCCTGACTATTTCTCTCACCACACTCGGCATAATTATGATCAATTCTTCATTGCAACGCAGCGTGCACATCTCTCGCCTCGGGTGCGTTGCTGAAACATCCAAATTATACCAGCGTCGCCTTCGTATGCCCTTCAATTTTTTGTTTACCCTGCCAGACCCTTTGTGAGCCAAAGGCACCGCCTCGTCGTACGCGTGTCAATCCTGCTCTGAAGCTTCCCTTCATTCAGCGACTTGCAATATGTATTTTTCAGATCAATGAAAATCCCTGCCGATGAAAATATCAACTTGAACAAAATCTTGTAGCGATGCAAGTGGTAACATAGGCCCTATACATACCAGATCAGATAGCAACGGAGTATTAAATTGTTGTTGCAAAATGTAGCATATATAAGCAACTGAGTGGAAACCAGAGTTATGTAACTGCATTCCGCTATATTGACAATTTATAGGCGTAGGCAGCATTTGTTCCCTCCACAATACTGAACTTTGAGCCATTTCGGCGTTCATCACTAAGGCATACGCAAATAATTAATTGCACTTAGTGTCTTAATACCAGATAACATCACCGCTCGTAAAGCATCCGGGACATCCACCACCTTCGCTCCCCACGTAACGAACTACCAGGCCACAAGCATGTCGTTCAAAATTCATTTTCCAAAACCGGGACGCAATGCTATCACCTTTAGACAGGCCCACCATAGTGCGCTCTGAGCGTATGGGCAACGAGAGGGGACCGGGCGGTCCACCTACCGCAGCGCTGGGCAGCTGACCATCCCGAACGGCCTCTCACCGGCCGAAACAATAAATAACCCACCGGTGAGCGGCCGGGCGGCGCGGCCGGGCGGTCGGGCCTACTCGCGGAGTTTCACCTCGCCGAGTACAGCGGCGGCCGGCGGCTGGTGGACCACGGTGCGGAACCAGCGGGTGACACAGACGAGCCGCGCGCGCTGCCGGCCGTCCAGACCTCCAGTGAAGGCGGGCAGCAGCGCGCAGCAGAGCGCCAGGTCTGCCAGCGTCACCCGCTCGCCCACCAGGTAGGTGCGGTCTCGCAGTACAGCGTCCAGCCGCTCCAGCCAGTGTACGACCGCCTGGCGGCTGGCGGCGGACTGCTGCGCCGGCGCGCCCGCCGCCAGCCAGCCGGCTACCAGCTGGCGCAGCTCGTCCGCCTGGAAGAGCGCGGCCAGCACGGCCGCCTCCGAGGCCGGGTCGGCGCCTCCGCGCAGCTGAACCGGCGCCAGGTGCAGCGCGGCCGCCGCGGCGTCCCAGATCAGCGTGCCGTCGGCGGTGCGCAGCGTCGGACGGCGACCCAGCGGGACCGCGTCCGGCGCCGGCGCCTCCGTCACCGGCAGAGAGAGGCCCGAGTAGCCGGCGGCGATACGACAGAGCAGCGCGCGCGGGTCGCCCGAGCCGCAGAACAGTACCGGGCCTGAGCTGGGCACCGCGGAACTGGCGGCCGGCGGTTTGGAGGAAGACTTGGCACTCGCCTTGGAGGGTTTGGCAGTCTTGGAGGCTGGCGACGGGGCAGCGTTACTGGCGGTGGGTACCTGCGAAGAGCGGAACAACTTATCGTCACACACGAGGAACCTTCAAATACAAGAGCATTAATAGGTCTTGAGCTGGAAGTACATGTAAAACGGTAGCAAGGTAACATAGTCAACGTATCTGCAGTCAATTCTTTACAAAAAAAAAACATCACAGATCGTTCCCATTCCTCACTCCACTTCCGACACGAACGGATCTCAGCAATGCGTCTGTAGTTATAACCACCATATTCACACCTCAACATCTCATCCGTTCCGACCTCACACATCCCATCTGCCCCGCTTGACCTGTACCCATCAGCCCTTTCTGTCCGTCTCCCTCGACCAAACAGTCCCTCTACCTCCCGCCTTACGTCCTATGCTCAATAGCCTATCCAACCGGTCTCACCTGGACTTCGACGGGCTGGCTGTCCTGTCCGAGCGTGGTGCGCGCGTGCTGCCTGGCCGCCTCCAGACAGGCCTTGGCGGCGGTGACGTTGGTGCCGGCCGCCTGAGCTGACTCGGACTTCCCGCCTCCTCGGCCGCCCATCAGCTCGGTCAGCTTTGTCACCCACTCGTTGGCCTTCAGACCGGCCGCCAGCGCCGGCTGTGGGGCGGGCGGGCAGCGTCACCACTGAGCAAGGGATGACAGGACAGAACAGGACACAAGCATGACAGCGAACTTCGGAATACGACTAACACAGGAATACCCTGTAGGACAAAGAACAGCCTTACCACCAAGAGTATTCAAATCAATTTGAAGCTCAGCGGGATAAAATATCTTAGCAGGTAAGGCAATAATCACACAGATCCAAGGTGACTCACCCCTAAAACCTTATATTTTCAGCACTAGATCGCACTACGACCATAGCTCACAACCCACAGGATCCTACCTTTGACACAGCGCTCAGACAGACGATCTTTCCGGCATCCTCGTCCACGGAGAGGAACAGAGCCGACATCTGAGGCGCGATGGCCTTGACCTGCTTCAGGGCAGCATCCAGCGCCTAAGGGCACAAAAAGGTCACGTCAGGGGAGGACTCTTTGTCCCGGTAACGACGACCGGCGAGCGGCGTACGAAGAACTGGCGCAGAGGCTTTTGAGCTAGCCTCGACGGAACAAGTGCGACGCTGACGGCCAATCAGCTTGAAACATAACACAAGTCTCAGTACAACCCTGCCTGAGTCCAACAAGTGAACATCTAACTAGCTAAGCAACATAGCTAGCAGAGCAGACCAGTGTCTGTTGTGCTCACCTTTGTGTTTGAGTAGGCCTCCAGCCGGCGCACGATCCAGGGCAGCTCCTTATTGGCGGTGACGAACGCCTTCGTCTCCTCCACCACCGAGGTCATGACGGCCGCCTTCCTCGCCTTGTCCTTGTCGTCCAACTGCTTCTTCATCTTGGTCAGCTCGGCGCGCAGCTGATCCTGTAGCGGAGGAAAGACAGTCGTCAGGGCGCACATTACTGTATCCAGTAGCAGCCGGTACCGGGTTGGGTCGAAAAACAAAACACTTTTGTGGAGCGTTGGAGTCGTAAATGTTGTTGGTGAGCGAAACGTCTACTTGATGTTTATCTTACGAATTTGAGCAGTACAAGTACACACGTTGGTGGAAGATTTTAATAAGCCGCAGTCAAATAAGTAGAGTATTGATCCGATCATAAATTGATAGTAAAAAGTGGGATACAAAGCAGCTAATAAGCGATAGTTGGGTGAAGCTGTAAAGCACAGGAATGCTGAGTGAGAAAACAAGCCTGTCTGCTCCTAACAATACATTAACCCACTGTAAGGAATCGGTGTGGTCACTCTAGTCTCCAGACTTCTCAGTTAAACTTGTGTCAGTTCACCCTCCCCATCTCAATTGTAGCCGATTCCCACCTTCTTCCACTGCTGGATGGTGGCCTGTGAGATCTCGTCGGTCAGCTCCACTATGCGCCTGACGAGCTCCTTGCTGGAGAGCTGCGGGTCGTTCAGCTGTTCGGACAGCACGTTCAGCTGGTTCTCCAGGGCGGCGGAACGGTGCAGCGCCTGCGAGAGGCGAGGAAATGGGTCGGTCAGATGAAGGCAGTCGGATCAGACTGTGGGATGCGCGAACGGGCGCTGTGGTAGGCAATTCAGTGAAAATCAAAGTAAAAAGAAGATATTCTTGCAGAAAATAAATCCTGTCACAAGTCCGTCTCATGTATAACATTTCCAGGCTGCCTACCACACACACACACACACACACACACACACACACACACACACACACACACACACACACACACACACACACACACACACACACACACACACACACACACACACACACACACACACACACACACACACACACACACACACACACACACACACACACACACACACACACACACACACACACACACACACACACACACACACACACACACACACACACACACACACACACACACACACACACACACACACACACACACACACCACACACACACA